TGTATAAGTTGGCAGCAAAAACTCTAGCAAATCGCATGATGAAAGTCATCAATGACATTATTCACCCCACTCAAACTGGTTTTATAGAAGGAAGGAACATTCAAGATAATATCTTGCTAGTAAACGAACTAGTTAAACTCTCCAGGCAATCCAAATACAATGCGGCTTTCATCTTCATAGACTTTGAAAAAGCCTACGATCATGTTGACTGGGGCTTTTTAGATAAATGCCTAGAGAAGTTTAATTTTGGGCATAATTTCAGAAGAAGGATTGAGATCCTGCATTCGAATGCCACTACTAGGGTGATGGTTAATGGTAACTTGGCCCCCCCTATTGATTTGGAACGATCGGTAAGACAGGGAGATCCAATTGCCCCCTTCCTTTTCATCATCATGATGGAAGCCCTAGCAGCTAACTTAAGATGCAATAAGGATATCAAACGGATAGAGGTCAATTACATACCAGAAGAGGCTATACTCATATGCTCATTTTTTGCAGACGACCTCTCTTTGATGACTGAAGCTTCACAAGAAAATTTAACAGCTATCAAGAAACTAATGGATAAATTTTGTACCCTCTCAGACATGAGAATCAATTGGGGCACAAAGGCTCAGGGTTGGTGGATACATCATCAAGGGGTGAGACCTCCAGAACTACTGAAATTTAGAATTAAGAATCAAAGTCATAATTTTTCAAAATCATAATTCAGAACGAATAAGGTGAGGGGCATAATCTCTAAAAATGGTGGGCTATTAGCTCAGATGGTAGAGCGCGCCCCTGATAATTGCGTCGTTGTGATTAGACTGTAGAGGCCTAATTAGAGTTCTGGTGATTTCACTTTCTGCTGAGGGTAAGCCAACAGGAAACAATGAATGGATAAGTAAATCAACTCTAGCTAAATTGGAATTATGGAAGGACAAACGGACCTCTATTATAGGGAGGTCACTAGTGATAAACAATGTCATTCTAGCCTCGCTATGGTATAAATCAGCAGTATGGGCACTGGACAAGGCAACACTTAACCCCCTACAAAGACAGATCACAACCTACCTTTGGAGAGGTAACCACGACCACAAAAACATGATAAGTAGAGTGGCCTGGCAGGCGGTGATTCAACCCAAAACGAAAGGTGGCCTAGGAATTCTAGACCCCGCCACCCAAGTGATGGCCTTATCTATTCAATGGATTAAACGGTTACTCTTCAACCCGGAGACCCCGTGGTTAGCCCTGGTTGAAGAACAAATCTCGAGACTTGCCCCAGAAGTACCAAGTGGGATTGACCCACTGATATGGCTAGAGAATCGGTACTGGTCCATCCCAAGATCCAGAGCGCAACGGCAGGGCTAGGCAGTGGAGTCCCATCGTCAAGCCACAAGAACGGACATTAAAAATGATCCTTTTTGGACAGACCTTCTTAAGAATTGGCGCAAATTACCCCTTCCAGCTTAAATCGCTCCTACTAGATGGGAAGAAGTTTATCAGCAACCCTTGTTCAACAAGAGATGGATCACTGACTCACAAGGTACAATGCTTCACTGCATGGATTCACCCTGGGAGGGGTGGGTAAAGCAAGGGATCCTAAGGATTGGAGACATTTGGAATTCAGAATCAGCAGACTGACACTCTCTTCCCGATCTTCTGCCCAGCCTACGGTACTGTAGGAACACAACAAGTGCACTTGAGAATATCATCGAAGCCATCCCGATAGATTGGATACGAATCCTCAAGAAAGGCCCCCAACTAAAAGAAAGTGATTGGGTGGGGATCATGGGGAACCCTCAGCAAATAGGAAATGTGGTAACGACAGATGGAGGGGAATCGGTGTTACTCTCATTATTATCGATTAATCAGAACAACAGGTTAAAAGAAAGTCCTACTAAGGAAACCAGATGGATAAATGCTAATCAAGTATTCAGGATTAGAGTTCTGAAACAAAAAGACTTGTGGTTTGCCTTCAAACCTACATGCGCAATCAATAAACTACCCCTGGATCCGGACATGGTCAGTCCCAATGAGGAGCCGGAAAAATTGTACCCGGAAAATCCACTCTCTGACGGTCAAATCAACCTATAGAATGCTGAGACCCAGATTGAATTTGCGTGATCGGGTGGAAGCCAGGTGGATGAGACATCTGAATGTAAGTAAAGAAGATCTGAGAAACATCAAGTGGTTCAAGACTATCAAGATTCGTCCGTCAAAAATTGCCTCATTGCAATGGCAAATTGATCATAGGTGCCTTCCCACCAATGATTGGCTTATAGATAGGACCTCACTGGAGGAAAAAGGCCTTGCTTTACCTTGGTGCAAATTATGCTCCTCTGTGTTTCCATCCAGGAACATCCCGAAAACCATAGAACACATCTTTCTTCAATGCCCGAGCGCAGTCTGGTTATGGCGTTGGTGGGATAGGATCAGGAACTCCCTTGAGACCTCCATGAAATGGCCATGGGATTGGAGGGCTCTGCTTTGTGAGACATGGACACCAAACCAACTGGATGATTTCTCTCATAATTTATTTAAAATAGGCAGAAGAGCCATTCTCTGGGCCCTCTGGAATCGTCGCTGTACGTTTGAAATGGAAGGAGCCAGGTTGGACGGCCCAGAACTCACTGAAGTAATTAAACTGCAAATTCAGACAATTATCACAGTTCAATGGAATAAAGTAAAAGAAAAAATTAAATTCCTTTCGAAGGAAAAAGAAATCCAACAACACATCCAACTATTCAGTGGCGCATGGCTAGGGGGACCTCAAGGAGGTAAGATTGGAAGGATTAGAGAAAGTGGGGTAAAGGAAAAGGCTAAGGAGGGGCAAAAGGAAGAAGTACATAAGGATTACCGCCTGACCTTCCTGGATTGGATGAATGTGGATCCAGCAATTCCCCTTCGCCCTTTATCAGAGTTCCCGGACCCCTTTCCCCCCTCCTCATTATCACTGGTTCCCATAAGTTGGTATGGTTGTGAATGAGGGAGAGATGTCTGGAAAAGGAAATTGACTTGAGGCCTTTTTTCTCAATAGGTAGCATCTGTGTGTCTAAGATGTATAAATTAAGGACAATGCGTAAAGAGACAGTGGAATTACAAGCTATGAGTGTAGTTGAGGCAGCATCAGCAACAGTATTACTAATCCATTCTTGGTACCAGGGCTTATCGATGAAAGTTGGCGCCACTCAATTGAGGGTGAAGAGGTACAAGGGACGTTGGGCCCGGTTCCCAGCACGAACTGTTCTATCACCATGGTACTGTAATCTCAGGGACGTTGGACCCGTCTTCCAGCAGGTGCTGCTCCCCACCATCACTCCTATCGGATACCGTGGGTTTTAATTAAAAAAAAAAAAAAAAAAAAAACCTCTCTCAGATGACGACAACGACTTCGTCCGTTCCATGTAGTTACTGAACAACGTGTATTTTAGGGCATCAGGCCCCGCCGTGCACGCACGGCCTCGAACCAGCACCCTCAGCCTCATGAACGAAGTCTCGTAACCACTACAACCCTTGGAGGTGTTGCAAAAACTGGATCCATATCTGTCGTGATATCCAGCCCACCTCCAGGGCTGTGGCGTCCTTGAACTCACACCACACACACACAACACCACACCACGGACACGACAATCAACACACTCCGCTCGGACAACATGCAGCCCCACCACCGCTACTTTAACCTGGTCACTCCAGGCGGGCCAACTGCCCGCGGGTTCTGCAGGCGCCTTCACAGTAGTTACTGAACAACGTGTATTTTAGGGCATCAGGCCCCGCCGTGCACGCACGGCCTCGAACCGGCACCCTCGGCCTGCCCACCTTGGCTGGCCAACGTTTTTTTCACTCTCTGCGTGCTGGTTCTTGTCCTCTACTGTTTTCTTCCCACTCTCCCAATGCTTGCCACCCATGACGTTTTTTCTCCCTTCCTTCTCATTGCTGCGTACCATATCTGCTCCTACCGCCTGCTTCTGAACTTTTTCTTTTCTTTTTCATTCTTTCATTTCTCCCCCCTGGACCTCTGTGCGTCCACTAGCGGTTAATGGAAGGCCAAATATTCGGGGTTTTTCGCCGCGTCGCTACAAGCAATGTTGTCGAAACTTTTGCGAACAAACTATGCAGGGTCATAATACAAACATATAAATCCCTATTCGGAGTAGCTTCCGGAGTTTGCCAAAGCTTTTTTCGAGTCTGCTGTTTTTGCTAAGTTTTTTTTTATATGGCGAAACTGAATACAGATATGCCCTAAAGCACATATATAACAGGCAAAAAAAAAAACTGAGAAAAGAGTAAAAATTCAGGGAAATATGACAGTTTCGGTGAAAAATTCACCAAAATTCGCCAAATTTTGGGCCTTCCATTAACCGCCTCTCCCCAGATCTTCTATTGTTGGTTTACCGGGGCATTCGTGCGAAGCCGTGATGACTTTTTTGCTATATTAGGATGGTCGAGCAGTGAGTAGGTAGCGCAATCATCTCCCCTGATGATGGCCGACACGGCCGAAACATGTCGGAAGCTTTCACCATTTTTTGCTTCTAGCATTGTGATTATTACGAAGCAACATTATTTTTTGCGCTACCACTGTGTATTCTTCTCATCTCCTTCTTTCTTCCTCCAAACTCTCTTGCTCTACTGTCATGAGTGCTGAGTCGGTCGCAATACACGGTTATTAGCATCCGCGAGGCATGAGTCGTTCACAACGCGCTACACGGCCGTTTTCGACTCTATTCCAACAACAATGAGCTTCTTTAACGATCTTTTTTTTTTGGTTTAGCGAACTGTAATCTTCTCTGTACGGTTCTTTTTGTTGAAGTTTTTGTGCCCTATTTTAACGGAAGCCTCCTTGCTCTTCGGTGAAACTCTTTGCGTGTCATCCTTGCACAGGGGCCATGCTAATCTTCTCTGTTGTTGTGGTTTAAAGGTCCGAATTTTAAATTTAAAAAAAAAAAAAAAAAAAAAAAAAACTCTTTGCTTGACTTTTCTATTTTTTTTTTTCTTTTTTTTGTTTTCTTACTGCTTGATATTAGGGGCATAATCAACTACAACCACTTGCTGGACAAACTGGAGACACTATCCCCAAGGAGAAGAGGGATGAGGTACAACTACATGGAATGGCCACTGGTAACCGCACCGTGGGAGCCTTTGTGGGGCTCAAAGTCAAAGGTCAGCTCAAGTCAAAGTTAAAAGTTAAAACCAACAAACCTTTTTTGAAGTTTTTTCCTTCTTTTTTCTTTCGTGGAATCACAGGCTGAGTCTTGCTCCTGTACAAAGCCAAAGAAAAAAGTTAAAAAAACTTGAAGACTCACAATCAAAGCAAGGAGCAGGAAACCTACTCTTTCAAAAATACAATTATAATGCAAACCAAGTTAACCAACTATCACTTATATAAATGTCATTTCGTTAAAATTGACAAATATTTCTGTCGCGCGACATTGAGAGAGAAAGAGAGAGAGAGAGAGAGAGAGAGAGAGAGAGAGAGAGAGAGAGAGAGAGAGAGAGAGAGAGAGAGAGAGAGAGAGAGAGAGCATATGAGTATGGAACAGTCATGATTTGAATACCGAAGTGAATGTTCATGCGCACGTAAAGACAAATGAGTATGCTCCTCACACTCAAAGTTTATTGAGAGAGAAAGAATTGAGCAATAATTCCTCAGGGAGGAGGTTTTGAAGATGCCACCATTCCCATAACTTTTTTCACAGAGGACAATAAACCCATAAATGTCGAAGGCCCTCAACCACAAAACCTGCTGAGCATCGAGAGAAGTATGGTGTGCATTCCTGTCCTTCAGGACATCTATTAAGATTTAAAATTGGTACAGTACCAGAGTAGTCACGCCGACGGTTGGCAACCGGCCCACCGACCGGTCCACCGGTCGGCACCTACTGGTCGGCTGTCAGTCGGCACCCTGCAATTTTGAGTTTTTTTGCTGGGTCCATAACCCCAATTACCCCACCAACACCTTTATACACATGCCATGACTA